TTACGATTCGGATAATCCATTAGCTTCATATGAAATTTACAACTATTTAAAATTGTTATATTTCGTGGGAGTGATAAAGGAAGCAGCGTAACGACGAGTACCATCTTCGAACTTGATATAGTTTTGGAAAAATACAAACTTTGTAACTCATGCAAAGTTTGTATTAAATCGTATTCTATGTTCGCATTATATTACAAAACACATTTTTGGAAAAATTCTGAACATTTTGTTGGGAAGGTATTAGAAAAAATTACCTAAAAGTTATAATGGACAGACGGACTGACATCGATTCTGACAGGCAAGAAATAATTATTGATACAATAAAATATGATGCGTATGAACCGGAACGAACATGGATATGAAGAAAAAATGTGTGTTCAATGATTTTCGTCACCATATTTAGGAGGTGTCTCAATCACAGTGACAATTTGTTTGAGTGCATAAAAAGGTGTATAAATCAGTACACGCTTTGGTGTAGCCCCCAAATAACGGTATTCCCATTATTTGGACTTCTGGCACGTCTTTCAAATGAATTGCCTTTAATTTGATTTTATGGATTCGTATGGGGTATCAAACCTTTCTACTAGCAAGTAAAAACGTTGTATACTCTCCAGAAGAAAACGAAATATAAAATTATAGCCAATTTCGATGCAAAAATATCGAAAATTTGGGGGGTATTGTTTTATGGGGTCATTAATATTGACTTGAGTCAATATTAATAATTTTTAACCAGTGAGCGGGGCAGTATAGTCGGACGGAGCCGACCATATAATACCCTACACAACTTCTACGAAAATCTAACTTTGCGTTATTTGCACCCTCTTGACACCCGACTAAAAGTCAACAAATATTAGCAATATTCCATAGACGAGGGCTGTACTTGTCCAGATTCTCTTTACCGTGGGTTATGTTGTGATGTTGGGCTTTCAATTGTGGCCTATAAATTGAGTCAAAAAAAAGCACAAAAAGTTAAGTTTTCGGTCGACTTCATCCCAAAATTATTATGTGATCATCACCGAAAATTATAGGCGTTGTCCTTGACCATAACTGGAATCTCATGGAAATTTTCAAAGCGATCAGCGCTATATTTCTGCCCTCTAGTGTGGTATTGGGTAACTAAATAATGTCTGAATACGTAAGCACCTGTAAATATTTAAGTGTAACTCCCACATCTGAGTACATACGACCATATAATTGGTATCAATTTAAAGGTCAACCACTCCTCTTGAACACACTATAAACTGCTCAGGCCTTGCTTTTTCAGGGGCAAATATATACGCCAAATTTTCCCCATGCGGTGTTTGGGCGATAATTGCGGCCTCAGTTGCGACCACAAAAACCGACAAAAATAAAGTTTTTGGTCCATTTCATCCCCTAAATATTAAACGATCTTTTCCAAAAACAATAGGGGTCTTCATTGGCCAGAACCCATTCTACATGCAAAATTTCGTGAATATTGGTCCATAACTGTGGCCTGTATCGTGTTAACAAATTGCAATAGACAGAGGGACGGGCGGACGGACGGACACACATGTCTAAATCGACTTAGCTAGTCGATCGGTATACTTAAAGGTGGGTCTAGGACCAATATTTCGCGGCGTTACAAACTTTTGGAGCTGCACAAAGCTATAATACCCTGACAACATAGTTGTGTAGGGTATAATTAAATATCAAATTACAGTCAATTGCTAAGAAACTTACCTAACATCCACAAAATACCGATTTTTTAAGGATCAATATTAATCATTATTATTACGGAAGTTTGCATTTCGAACCCAAAATACCAAATTATAGACAATTCGTACCCAACCCTCCAAAATACCGAATTTTGAGTGGTGCCGTTATAAGGGGGATGAATCAATATTAATAATTTTTAGTGAGGATGTTGACTACACATTGGCAATTCAAAATTCGAAATTACAGCCAATTCAAATGAAAATCGTTCCCAACAATTCCAAAATCAATGTTGCCAATTTAGCACTTTTAGTGCTAGATTTAGTACTTTTAAACTCGTTTAGCACCAACAAATTAATCTAGCTACTAGCATATTTTTTAGCATTTTTACTTTTTTCTGGATGTTTTTAAAATTGTCAGTATGTTTGATTTCATTCCAAAAAATAGCCGTTTTTCGATTTCCCATCGGACCTTTGAAATTGCTCTATGTTTCACCCTACTTACTTACTTAGGTGGCTTATGACAGAACGGTTGATCCATAAGCCGATCTTAAAAGAAACGCGTCGGTCTGGTGCACTTCTCATTCAATTTGAAAGACCATTTTCCGAGATGTAGTCTTCTGCTTGATCTTTCCATCGGATTCGTGGCACCCCCCTCCTGCGTGAGCCATCAGTAGGCTCGCTTTTATATGCCTTTGAGCTTGGGCATCTTCATCCATTTTTACAACATGGCCTAGCCAGCGCTAGGCGGTACCGTGGTATGTAAAATCGTCCACTACATCGCAGCTGTAGTTTTCAAGTCCCACAGTTGGTCCGAGTCTACTGGACGTCTTTCGCGTTGATAACATCAGCTTGGACTTTTCGCCATTTACTGCCAGTCCCATTATGTCGATGTTGTCTCACCTTATAATTTAATATGAAGACTACGAGCAAACCTTGACCTAGATTGTTAATTTTCTGCATATGTGCCAGCCTCCGAAAACGCGCATGTGATATTACAATCAATTCGATTAAAAACGTATACGACCGCTCTCTGGGGCCTACCCGAGACATGGACCAATATTCATAATTCTGCCTAATGAGAATCAAACATATACGCCCATGTGACATGTTCCGAGAGTTTTTGAATTCCCATACTTTTATAAATTCCCATGTTGTGCAAAATGGTGTGATCAACAAGGGTACCATTCCCGAAAGCCTGCAGTTAGCAGCTATCTTAAGATTTCTGGCTGTTAGTGGGTTTCAGAGGGTAGTGGCAAATGATTTAAATATAAGTGTTGATCGCACAACAATGTGTAAAATATTGTGGAGAGTAATGAAAGTCCTGGAAGGCAAAGTGTGTGCAGCGTGGATAAACATTAATGTGAGTAAAGATAAAATGAGGTTATCCAAATTGCATTTTTAATAAAATTTCGGATTTCCAGGAGTTATAGGCTGTGTAGATGGAACACACATCCGAATAGTTCAACCACATGAAGACTCATTTTTATACTACAATAATACTATATAAATGCAATGATTGTAAGGAAAACAATGTAGGTAATCGTAAAACTAATTTTTCTTCAGTTAGGTGTGTGACTATAACATGAGAATTCGAGCTGTGGACAGCTACAGACCAGGATCCTGCCATGATGCTTTTATTTGGCATATGAGTGCAGCTAGGCAGCATTAACAAAAGAGCAAATTGTATGCGAAATAGTTGGCTTCTAGGAGACATTGGTTACGCTTTAGAAACATTTTTGATGACGCCCTATAAACAAATGGAGCATGGATCATGTCAACATCGATATTATAAAGTGCACACATCTGCAAAAAACATTATTGAAAAGACTATTGGAAATCTTAAAAGTAGATTTTTTAGATTCTATTTTTATTTTCATCATATGATGGTAGAGTTGCCAGATTGATCTCAAAAATGTTACGCGCTGTTTTTGGTAAAAGGAGCCATTTTTTATTTTCTTTAATTTTACTATAAAAACTAATGTAAATACTGAATTTTTTAAATAAATATTTTAAAAACACGTTATATATTACTTCAGTGTTCTTTTTCAACTTGTACTTTCTCAGAAAAACACGTACGATCTCATTTCGTTTTCAATACACAAGGCTATATGTGCTCGAATTATATTCCCAATATTTTTTGGGAATTCGGAATGGAGCACACCAAATTTGGGAAAATGTTTCACATTCGAGCAAACTCGAAATGCAGCACATGGGCGATAAAATGAAAGCCACTGCGGCTGAAAAACGTGCCTAAAGTCACCAAACATCGAATAATTGAGTTACCGCTCAATAGGTGCTACTGCGAAACATGGACCCATACAGATAATTTTTGTTAGGTAGATTTTTTACATAATGAGTATCCAAAATATCAAATTAGAGCCAATTCGGTTTTAAAACGTGTACTACCCTAAAAAGTTTACCAACAATGATAATTTTTAGTAGGAAGATTTTCTACTCAAAGCTTACAAAATATCGAATATTGGGGGCACCGTTATAGAGTCTACCCTAGAAAACGCCGATATATACCAATTTCAATACGAAATATCCTAGGAGTATTATCAGTGTATGTCCAACATTTCAAAGTTCTGTCTTCAATATTGCGAGTTATATCGGTATTTAATCAGACAGATGGACATGACTATATCGACATACAATTTTATTTCGATAAAGAATAAATAGGATCTTAGGTGAATATTTCGAGGTGTAGCAAGCAAATATAAAATGCACTCACCCCACCTTGTGTCTATAATGCATTTTTAGGAAATACAGATCTCATTATTAGCTATAATTTTTTTGGCACTTTTGTTTGAAAAAATTTTAGCACTTTCTAGCATTTTTTATCAACAAAAAATATCTTTAGAGCTTTTAGTTTTAGCTTCGAAGTGTCTGTAATTCGGTATACCGAAAGCTTAGGATCCTACGACAATTTTCCAATCTGAGTGCCTTTAATTTAGTATTTCATTTTCTCAAATAAACAACCTACTAGCGGGCCAAACAACATATGAGCTACCCGACCTCAAAAAAACCAAAGCGGACTGGAACTATTAGATAGTCCTTCAAGATGTTTCCAAAAAACCAATAGCCTATAATATAAATATTGCATTTCCTCTCAGTATTCTGTGGCTATATTACCAATGTCAAGACAATCACAGAAACAATTCCGGTTGCAGATAATTTTGTCGTTAATGGGGAGGTTCAATGGGTAAAATTTTAGTCGTATTGTTCATTAAATATATTGACAATGCTTAAAAATATGATTTCAGGTTCCACGGGTATTCTAAAACAATTATATAACAGAAGATAATATATGTGTATTATTTTCTTTTATGTATTTCGAATTTGTTCTATTATCCAATCCATAAAATATTGAGTACTTGTATAAACTCCTGGAATATCAGGACGACCACAACCAAAACCATATGCGATAACGCCAAGCAAATAAAAGTGTGCCACATTGTTATGCATCTGAAATAAATTAGACCCAATTTAAAATATAAATATATAGTTTTTAATATTTCACCTACCTCTGGTATCATCAAAGGTCCTCCAGAATCTCCCCGACACGTGTCCTTACCACCTGTAAGCACACCGGCACAAACAACAGCATTATCAAATTGATTGGCAGTAAACGCAACTCCACGTTTCTGATATTCTTGGCGACACACATCATTTGGGTAGACCAGAATTTGCAATTCAAATAAAACATTTCTGGCATTACCAAGTTCGTGACTCTGACCCCAGCCGGCTACAAATGGATTATAGCGAACATAGCTCTTCTGCCGCAACGCTGGACTTGTGGGCAAACAAATTGGTGCAATAGATTCTAAAGAACAGAAAATAATACAGCATTATTAATGTCCTAAATATTAATTATGAAATATTAAATTTATCTATGTAAAGACGACGATTGATTGTTCTACGGAAACATTCTGTAGGAGGGACCATTTTTGTCTGTAGAAAAAAACCTCAGATCTTGTGCATTCATTCCAATAAAAAAATATTTTACATTTTTATAGAGAAAACAACAATAGTCGAAGATTTTTTACCCGATGAATATAAAATAAAAGTCGTAGAAACGTCATTAAATTCGCATATGTTCCGAACAATATGTGGTGGATAGTGAAAATGCCTTCAATGGGTCGTGACCTTTATACGGTGGCTATGTCTTCATAATTTGTCTGCTACTTTGTTATTTATGGTCTAAGAAAAGGGCAGACGTTAAAATTGAAAAATTAACTTTGATAGTAAGGGGGATAAATAAAAACATAGACCTTCATTGAAAACTTTTTGGTGGAGAAGTTTTTTTTATTTATCAAAGAAACGGAAAAAATAGCAGCACCTTTGATGGGAAAATATGACACAATTCTACTAAAATCTTGAAAATACTGAAAATTAGCAGGTCACTTATATTGAGATTGGATCACAACATAAACATATGTTGAACATTTTCTGTGAAGAATATTAAAACCACTTCCTAAAACACAGTTAAAACGTTAAAGTTATCGAAATTGGGTCGGGAGCTATGAGCTATGTCAAAACATGGACCTATATTTTTAGCGAATATTTTTTTTATTCGCTAAGAACCCGGTTACCCAAATCAGAGCCACTTCTCTGCTTGGGAAATCTTTAAAATACTGACAATGACGCGGGACCTTTCCGTGATCGCTAGATCAAAACATGGGCTAATATTCAAAATTTCGACGAATCAGTTTTTTCAAGTACACGAAATGCGAAGTTACCGCTGGTCCTGTTAAAAGTTTGGGCTAAAATAAAAACGGAACAGGTCCTTTTTATTGGGCTAGGTCATACAATTCTGCAAAAATCTTCAAATCGCTGAAAAAGGAGGATTATGTCAAAGCATGGACCTATATTTAAATATTCATCAAATAACATTTTTATTCACCAAAAACCAGTTTTGCAAAATTACAGCCACTTCGGTAGGAAAATGTGCCAAACCGTTCCAAATACCGAACATGAGGTGAGATCTATATACGGGCTACGTCAAAATATGAATTTTCCAAAGATCCCGGAATGCCCATTTACAGCCATTTCGGTGGGAAAATACGGCTAAAACTTTTAAGTCACTGAACATGGGTTGGGATCCTTATATGGAGAATATGTCAAAGCATGGACCTATTTTGAAGATTTCCAGCAAAGGCTTTTTATTCATCAGAAACCCGAAATATCAAATTTGAGTTCCTTCATTTGGAAAATGCAGCAAATTCCATTAAAATTCGGATATAATGGCGGGACCTTTATATGGGGTCTATGTCAGAATATGGACCTATATGGAACATGCGAAGGTATTTTCTACCCTTCAAGAATCCAATATGCCATATTCCAGCCATTCCGGTGGGAAATGCGGCTAAAACTTTTAAAATATAAATAATACCCTGTACCACAATGTGGTGAAGGTTATAAAAGTGAAGCTGCTAAAACCTTAAAAATGTCGAAAAAGGGAAGGGGCCTTGGGGCTATACGAAAAACTTAAACCGATAAATTCGCAACACCAAATATCCTAGGAGTAGTGGCAATTTTGCTACTGCTCCTGGAATTTTCTATATTTTATATGAGATATATCGGTCCACATTTTGGTATTTTCGGTCCTTATTTCTATGTAATTAGTTGAGGGGTTTTCAATGTTAAAAACTCGCTAAGACAATTATTCGATATTTCTATTTATTGTGAACGCCATATAACGGACTATCAATTTTTATTTAAGTGCCAATAACGGCAGTTTTTGGTAGGAGAACTCAAAATACTCAGTTACAGCCGATTTGTTTGTTAAACATGGACACGTAACTGAGTATTTTGAGTTCTCCTACCAAAAAGTGCCGATATTGGAGACTCGAAATCTCACAATTTTTTAGACCCGAAAATGTCGTTCTATGTTGGACCTTATAAACGATACCACCAAATCGGGAAGTTTGAACACATTTTTTAACCAAACCGGCTGTAATTTAGTATTTTGGATTCTCTGTGGTTTTTACACACCTTCCTTCCTACCAAAAATTATCAATGGTGGTCCATTTTTTAGTGTAGCCCCCATATAATGGTACCTCCTAAATTTCGCTATTTTGGAGAGTTTTAATTTACTACCAAACATCGTCGACAGAGGGACATTTTTTAGATTGGACCCAATATAACGGTACCAACGAAATTTCGCTATTTTGGGGAGTTTAGACATATTCATTGCAAATTAACAGAATATATTCAGGTATCAGATCTTTCATTCATTTAAAAATTTGCCATAACATAGCCGCCATATAATAGTTCCGATTCAATATAGGTTTTATGTTATGCCCATCTCATGATTGACGAACTTACCGATGCATTTACTTAATTTATTCTGATCAGAGATCCCCCACCAATATTTCGAGGTACACTCCAAGTCATGGTGGAATGGAGCACAATTGAGGGGTTTTTCTTAAAAAAAATCCAGAGACAAAATTGTTATAATTAACTTACTTGTAAAAACAACATTCCGTTCTAAATATAAAATCGCAATGTCACTGTGACCAGTTCGGTTATCATATTTGGGATGTATGACGGACTGCAAAATAAATTCCAAAAATATAATCCAATTATTTTCTTTGTTTCAAATAAATTTAAATTATGTATGGTATTTAAACAAATACTTACCCGCACAATATTGACATCGATGTGTAGGGCTTCAAAATCAGTGGTCAAATCATGTTCGCCTAAACGTACAAATTTTCTGAAAAAAAAGAATAACGTAAATATAAACCTATCGTGAAATATCCTATAGAGGAATATCCTGCAAAGAATTACTCACAAACTGTCGAGAACACAATGGGCTGCGGTAATAACATGACGTGCTGTTACCAAACTACCACCACATTTAAATGGCGAACCAGAATATTCATCACCATAACCCAACAAAGCCATCCATGGCCAGGCTCCAATTTTACTCTCCTGTCCACCGACAATTTTCCTTGGTGTAATTGTATTTCGTCCACAACCCTCCTCAAAGGTAGGTAATCTTCGTGGTATGACATCATCATTACTTCTTCGTTTATTATTGTTGTTCGTGATTGGAGGAAAAGTTGGTATGTCTTGTGGACAACAAACCATTGTATTGACACCTCCACATATTCTATTCGAGGAACGAATATAATTTTTAAATGCTGGATCTTGATGTCTGATTTGCAGTTCATCTATCAGCGACTGACAATATTTCAGTTCCATACAAGTACCCAGACGTCTATCAGGTCCATAACATAATTGAAAACTGGCCTTATTGTCAATAGAGGACGGTCTGGACGTTATAGGGGGATATTGCACGTGCTCTTCCATGGGATTTTCACAACAAATCTGAAATACACCTTTTTTTTATTGCAAAGGAACATTTATATGAATATAAATGTTGTTATATTTACCTCCGGATCATCATCGTTTACATTGAAAGTGTCACAGGCACTCATGGAGTCACGAAGAATTGTTTGTCGCATTCTAGGATTCATTGATTTTAGACTCCTTGACATGTCTGGGCAACGGCTAAGAACAACACATTCTCCATCCTCATTGTCGAACGTTGTACAATACTCAGAGCTATCTAAAATAGAAAACGAAGAATGATAGTACTTTTTTATCCTTTTGCAAAATTTATCAGCTCTGATAGCAGTTGGCAGGGACGTAGGCAAGGAGTGAGTGGGTCTGAACCAGCCCCTCCAAAATGCTCTTCTTACAATATATAATTGTTATTTTCAATATCGCGAACTGAGTAGAAAGTCCTCAAACTATATAAATACCAAAAATGGGGCTGGATCTTTTATGGAGGCTATGTAGATTATGGACTTATATCGGGTTCTTATATCGGGAAAATACAGCTAAAATCTTCAAAATACCGAAAACAGGACCGGACTTCTATATAATGGCTTCTTGAGCCTCACCCTCCAAGTTCCCGGAATGTCAAATTACAGCCACATCGTTTGGAAAGTGCAGCTTAAGTCTTCAATATAACGAAAACAGGACGGGACTTCTATATAATGGCTAAATCGAAACATTTTCTATTTACTAGGAATCCGTGATCCCTTATTGTAGCCCCATTTGGTTGGCGGCAACAACATTTAAAATGGCTAACATGTGTGGGGAGGATTGGACCTTTACACTTTTCAACAAATAAGTTTTTAATTTTCCAGGAGGTGGAAATCTCAAATTAGAGCCACTTCGTTTGTGGCGTATACTGCTATCAATAAATAAAATAAGGCTAGGCCTTAAATATGGGTGATATGTCAGAATACAGACCTATCTGAAAAAAGTCCTGCAAGAGGATTTTCATCTCTCAAGAATATGAAATGTCAAGACGATTATCTTTTGTTAATACGAAGTACTAAAATGCGGAGGACAAGAAAATTACATGTTTAAAAACTCGGCTAGGACGTTTTACATTTTCTACTTAAATGTAAATAACCATTCAAGAATCCAGAATGCCAATTCATTTCTGAAAGCTGAATGCTATCGGGCGCTTCCGTAGGTTGTGGATAGTGGAAAAGGCAATAATATTCATTGGTTGCGGACAGTCAGGATATGGGAGGAAATGAAATTGACGGCCCCAAAATAACCAATCACTAGGTCTTAGGTTACTTACTTCCTTAATTGAAGGGGATGTTATGCGGGCTCGCCAATCAGTGTCCCACGGTTTGCCATCAGGATCCCGTTTGTTGATATCTGGGCTACTCGACAATTTTGACGTACATAATTGGGTAATTGGGTATATCGTTTCCTCAGAGGATAAATAACATTCGGGAACACAATTCAAAATATAAGTCTCCATATTAACATAGCTCTACTTAAGAGATTCGGCCGAATTTAGGTACTTTTGTTGGAGACCTCGGTGTGTTTGAAGGTGTGTAAAATGCTCGACCAAAATAACATGGAGGCGTTGTTCTTGACTTCATGAAAAATTTCAAAGCCATCAGACCGAACTTATCTATGATTACAGTTATAGTTTGTCTTGACTACTGTACAGACCATAACTATGATACGTTCACCATGGAATTTTATACAGGGAAGGGGCATCGAAACATCGTGCCATTTTATGGGGCCTTTGTCACAGGATTTACCTTTGCAGAAATGTATATTCCTGTAGTATTTGCATGGGATATTCCATGGTCAAATCCGATTTTATGTATTTTCAATGTTCGGCACAGCCGAACTGAAAAATAGTTTTACCATGTCATATTATGAGATATTGGCCATAGACCCCTTTTTTGTATATGAGATATTGACCATAGACCCACTTTTGAGATCTAGCCATGTGTGTCTGTTCGTCTGCCCATTATCATTTTTAGTCAGAGTACAAGCCACAGTCAAGCAATTTTGCACCAAGGTTCGATTCTTGGTGCAAAATTGCGGCACCTATATTTTTGATTGTTTAATATTTAGGGGATCAAATGTACCAGTCTTGGCCATTTTTTCTCGTTCATTTAGCTTTCAAATAGTTTCAGTGCTTGGTCCGATTTTCAGTGACCGAGCAAAGTCATTCAGAGACCAACGGCGTTCACTGAGCAAAGTAGCAAATCAGTTATCAAAAATCAATTTTTTGACGAATTTAGGTTTTTGGTTTGCACACTGTTTAAAATTTTTGTTTGATTTCCTTACCTTTTCGCTGTGCATCGACTGAAATAATCACAATGGTGAGTTGAATCAAAACAGCAAATTTATTGATCACAAAACGCATTGTGCCGATTTTTTTTTAATTGTATTAAATATTCAATTTAAATTTGTATTTATTTATATTCCTTTCGCACTACTTCTTTTCAATTTGCTATTTTTATCCGTAACCGAGTTGTGAAGAGGTTAGCGTTTATTTTAAAACTGAATTGAAATTAGTTCACAAGGAAGTCTTTTTGTACAATAATTTGTTATGCTTGTATTCGGCGCCTTGTTTTGTTGATTTCCTTCTCAGCACAATAACATTGATATTGCGCAAACTTCTCAGAAAATAAGAACCGATCTGGAATGAGGAAGAAATATTGAGTAAGTACCAAAAAGATGTTTACAAAAATATAAAGGTGTATGTGTGTATGTATTCTTTTATTAGATTTATGTTTCATACTATAATTAATTATTTCCTTATATTGGTTTTTATTCGAATTGTTCATTACAAGAATTCCTTTATAAACATAATAAGATTCAAAGAGACAAAAAGTCAATCTCCTTTCTCATTACAATGTTCTAAAGAGAAATAAATTTTGAAGACATTCATGCGTATGTTTATTTTTAGTTAATTAATTTAATATGCCAAACACCAAGTAGACGTGGCGGACAGCTGGACGCATGAGTGTTTTATTTATTGGCTGACAAATGTTTACAAGGTTTACAACAACAACAGCAACATTCGAATTCGTTGTAAGTTGACTAAGTTCTCATTAAGGGGGAAACCCCAATAGTTTTTCATTATTAAGCTTAATGTTTGGTTAAATGGGGATTTTTTCAATATTTTAATGTGTACTACCAAAAGTAAAACAAGTATCCAACATAGAATTATAATACAGAGAATAACTAGGGGAAGTGGAATTAAATCATCTGTGGAACGATAAAGCCCTTCATCATAATTCAAAATGACAATTTTGAACCCGAAATAGCTAATATTTTACCATTATATGGGGGCTATATAATGTGGGGGTAGATTGTTCATGCTCTGAGAAAAACAATTTTTCAATTTCAGACACTCAGAATGAAAAACTTAAAGTTAACGAAATTTAAACATGAATTTTTATGAGGCTATTTTAAATCGTTAACCAATATTGAATAATTTCTAGAAAGATGTTTTTATTTGCCATCCGATATAACAATCTATAGTCAATTTTTGGAAAATTCAATTAAAACCCACAAAAGTATATACAAAAGTTTCCGCAAAAATGTGTTTTGCTCTCCAATATCGTGGAATGCCGAATTACTGCTACTACAATGGGAAAATGCGGCTAAATTCTTCAAAACATACAGACATTAGGGACATATATGTATTGGTCATTGTAAACTTCGGTCAATATTGATAATTTTTGGTAGGGAGATTTTCTACTTAATGAGATTCCAATATGCACGAAACACGTGTACATACTCTCCAAAATACCGACGGTCTCACGGGAGATTCGGATCTCCGGTATATATTTCGAAGTGCTGAAAACGAAATGAAAAAATATGATTGGAGTTATGGGGCTATAAAAAGGAGATCAATATTGATATTTTTTGGTAGTGAGATTTAATAGCCAATGAGAATACAAAATACCAAAATACAGTCAATTCAGTTGAAAAACGTGTCAAAAATACTCAAAATAGCGACTTGGGTCAATATGTGGCGATACCGTTATGAGAACCCAATATGCTAAATTAGAGCCAATTTGATTTAAAACGAGCCCATATTGACGTCCAAATAACAGCCAGTTCGGCTGGCAAACGTGTCCAAAGTCTCCAGTGGGTGTGTACTTTTAAGGGGGGCTACCCTAAAACAATATTAATAATTTTTGGTACGGAGATGTACTTTAGCATAAGAACCCAAAATGCAAAATTACAGCCAATTCGGTTACAAAACGTTTCCAAAATACCATTGCTTCCTCCTTCACGTGGAACATTACTACTGCGAATCTCAAACGCCTTTTAATGGGTCCCCTTAAGAAGTGATTTAAGAATCTTTATAAAGTAGTTAACAACAAGTTTAACAAGTGAACCTATGCCGACAAAATTTTATAAGAACATCTTTAAATCTACATTTTAGGTTATGGTTCTGTTCGTTAAAGCCTACAGATATATCGTTAGTTTTTAGTTGAAGAATTCGACTCCAAATTCAGCTGAAAAGTGGGACAAGGAATGACAAAATATGCAACCTTCATAAACTAAAGGATTAAGAGAGGCCATGGCCGCAAACAATTGACAATTTGGGAAGAAATTTAAAGAGACTGGAAAAGTTAAAAATATTGTAAGGCCTGATCGTTCTCGCTCGTTCTCCTGAAAATATCGCTGCTGTTAGTGAAAGTTTTAACGGAGACCCGAATGTGTCGATTCCTCGTCGTTTTCAGAAATGCCTTGCGTCACATTATGTCGTATTTTACATTTAGATCTACACCTACATCCATATAAAGTCCCAAAATAATTTTTTTATTGCGAAATGTCACCCTTCCAACGATCATAAATCTGAAATGGTTTTATCATTACTTTACGAGAAATCTACCATCTCCTGAAAAAATAATGGATTTCTTTTTTTCCCAACCTAATATTTATTACTCTTTCCGTAAAAATAGAAACGAACGAATGGGACAATAATATACTTAAACCAGTGAGCGGAGCAGTATAGTCGATTCCAAATTACACCAAAACTATTATCTGATCATCACCAAAAATTATAGGCGTTGTCCTTGAGCATACCTGGATCCTCATGGAATATTTTTAAGCGATCAACTCTATATTTCCGCCCTCTTGTGTGGTAATGGGCTACTAAATAATATATTAATACGTAACTACCTGTAAAAATGTATGTGCAACTCCCACATCCGGGTACATACGTCAATATAATTGGTACATATTTAAAGGTCAACCACTCATCTTCGATATACTATCAACATTTTGGGTCAATGTCCTTCAGGAGTAAATATATACGCTATAGAAGACAAATTTTGTCATTTTTCACACAAAAGTCAGGGTCCATTTGACCCGCTAAATATTGACCAATCTTTATCAAAACAGGCATACTTATTATTTGGCCCTATCCTCTTATCCCTGTAAGGGCGATGTTTGGGCCATAATTTCGGCCTCTGGAGCGACCAGAAAAATCGACAAAAATTTAGTATTTGATCCATTTCATCCCCTAAATATTAACCGATCTTTACCAACAACAATAGGGTTCTTCATTGGCCAGAACCCATCCTACATGCAAAATTTCGTGAAGATTGGTCCATAAATGTGGCCTGTATCGTGTTTACAAATTATAATGGACAGACGGACGTACGTACGGACGGACACACAGGTCTAGATCAACTCAGCTAGTCGAGATATAACGATCGGTATACTTAAAGGGTTGTCTAGGACCAATATTTCGCGGCGTTACAAACTCTTGGGGCTGCTCAAAGCTATAATACCCTGACAACATAGTTGTGTAGGGTATAAATAGTACCTATATGTACCTACATATTAAACTATTTTTGTGAATCAGTTTTAACACCTCCATAAAACATAATGGCAAATGTCAGTTTAGAAAGTGAGAAGTTTTTCAATTCTCTGGAATAACCATTAAAAATACCGAAAATAAGGCGGCACTGTTATGAGTGAGCTATAACAAAAACGTGGACCGATACATCTGTATAACAAATATTGCGACCAAATTGAATTACTAATTTAATATACATTTCACCTTATTGCGAAATGTATGCAAATACATACAAAACCAGTGAGCGGAGTAGAATAGTCGGACGGGACCGACCATATGTAACCCTACACAACTACCAGGGAAATCTAATTTTCTGCGTACCCTCTTTACCGATTATAGGTCAGCTTCACTTTCTTACACTGACATATTTTCCAGATCTTGTTCTCCCGAAATGAATATTTACGCCATAAAATAAGAAATTGTCACTTTAAGTTTTGGTTGATTTGACCCTTGGAATATTGACCGATTAACATCTAAACAGCCATTCTTAGTAGTTGTATTAGTATTTCGTCCATATAAACCGATCTTTAAAACGATACGAGTCTTAATTGGCCAGAATTGGTCCTACATGCAAAATTTCGTGAAGATTGATTCATAACTGTGACCTGAATCGTGTTTACAAATTATAATGGACAGACGGACGGACACACCTGTCTAAATTGACTTAGCTAGTCGAGATATGACAATCGGTATACTTAAAGGTGGGTCTATGACCAATATTTCGCGGCGTTACAAACTCATGGGACTGCTCAAAGCTATAATACCCTGACAACAAAGTTTTGCAGGGTATAAAAACTGTATTCGTAAATGACTATGACTTTTTTGAATTGTAAGTCTGCGTTGGAAATATAACATCTATTTTTTTTATCGAAATTTTATAATTCTTTTGTAGCATTTTACATTAGTCATTCCACATATATTTGTTTTTTTTCTATAATGACCAGGTTAGTATTTTGATTCTTAAAAATGTCACAGCAAATCATAACAAAATTAAATAAATTCCAATACTATTTCACAATTTGATGTCAAATCCCATAAATATTTGAAACAAAATTATTTTCCAATGATGGGAAAATTTGTTTTGAAACAAATTGCGTAAATAACAATGCGAACCTTTCAAATACCTTATATCGAAAATTACTTTGCTTTACTAGGAATTTTGTAAAGTACCCGGCCAGCCTGTCATTCTTGACAGCCTGACTAAGTGTTACTTAGCTTGGTAATGACAACTTTATTAAGTTATTAGTTGCATTTTATTACTAACAATAAAAAAACAACACAATTACTAGTAATTTTGGCAAGGGGTGGGTGAAAGTACTGCTAAATCGATCGTCGATGAACATAAATCAAAACTAGTTCCTTATTTAATGGCATAATAGGCAGGGGTATGAGTGACACATACACATTTTCTTAGTTTTGTTATAGTTTTGCACACACACACACCCAGTCCCCCAAATGACAAATCCGTAAAATTCTTAATAAAATTTCTTTCTACGTCCTTGAGGCTTTTCCATTTTCAACGCTAATGCTAAACTTTC